GAAACAACTTTGGATACTATAAATGGTAATGATCGTATTGAATCAACATTATCACAAGGAACAAATGTTACTAGGTCACAATTAATACTATCTGATCAATAATATCGTCAAGCAAAAATTTATGAAGAAAATCGATATTTAAAGAAAAAAATCAAAACCTGATGATGAATCATCAAAAAAAGGAAAGAAATCATTGAAAAAATCTAATATAACAGTAATCGATGATAATGATGATGATATTTATCGAATTGCTAAAGTAACACGTGGTGGTGAATTACCAGAAGGTGCTACAGAAAGTGGAAATGAAGACAATGATTATGATGTAATTGTTGGAAAAAATAAAAAATATGATCCACATCGAGCACTTAATATTGACTTAAGTGAAAAACCTATTCAATCGATTCCTATATCACCACCACCATTGACATCTCAATTAAAAGAACCAGTCCCTAAACAAGTTGAAACAGCTCCTATATTAACTGGAAAGCCAAAAAAAATCTAAGAAAAAGAAAATAATTGAAAAACAAGAACAATCATCAACATCGAAATCTAAACACAAACGAGAACGTAGTGATTATAAAGGATTATTATCACCAGCTGATGAGGAAGAAAATTGTCCAACTTCAACACCTCCTCTTCCTGCTATTGCAAAAAAACCAAAGAAAAAATATCATCATCAGAAACAATAACAACAGTAGATACAAATACTTCTGCACCACTTCTATTGGACATTAAAACAGATGATATTCATCTAACAAATTAATCTGAGCAACAATACAAAGGACAGGATACTTATAAACTAGTTGCTCAATCTGACAATTGTAAGTTCAATAGTTATTCTAGTTTAACCAATAGATGAGGAAACTTCGCTAAGTGATAAAATACTTTTGATATGAGTCTTATCTCATTAGATAGATTCTATTGAGATTTGAGAAAATCTATGCTACCTTCTTGAATGATATCTATTGTATTAAGTTTTCAGCATAATCCTATAGTTCCGTCCGATTTCAATTTGTTATAAAGTTTGATATGTTATTTATTTTTAGGAATATTCAATTAATCCAGATCCATCAATAGCTCGAGTTGATGTAACATTTCTTTTAAAAAATCGAACATCATTTATTATTGATCATATTAATATTCATTGTATTGATAGTATGAGTCCGAAATTATTAAATACAACAAGTGCAAATTTAATATCATTTCCATCTATAAATCTTTTTTTTCATTCACAAAATTATATTCATATTTATTTTTCAATAAATGCTATATCATTTTCTCAAAAATTAAAAACAACATTAACTTATTCTATAAATGTATGTTGAAAAAAAAATAGAAAATAAAAAAAAACAGGTTTTTTTATCATTATTTTTGATAAACATATTTAGAAATCAAATACAATTGAAACAGATAGAATTGAATTTAAACTTAATTTGTCTTGTTCACAATATTTACGACGAAAGACTATTGATTCGTAAGAATAGATTTTTTTAGTAAATTATTTAATATATATATTTTTTTTTGAAGTATTGCATTTGCTGATTTGATGAGTTCGGGTGTATTGATATGTCAATCACAACTTCGTATTTCATCATCTAATCAAGACTTTCTATTGATGATTAATACAATTTGTCAATTTTATCGATTAACTGGTTAGAAAAAGAATTTAAATAAATCGTTTTTTTTATATTTAAGTTTTTAATTTAGTTGTCGAAAAAATTAATTCAGCTGCATCTTTATATGCTGAAACAATTCTTGAACAATCAATAGCTCTCTTATTTAAATCAATAGTATGTATATTTTGAGATTTTCATTAATAACCAAACTAAATAATTTTTATTTATTTAGTTCTAATCTCATGAAAGAAATAAAAACATCATTAAAATAATTTGTTTTTCTTTTCTCTCTTTCCTTATTTCATTTATTTTTATTTTTATTCCATAGACAATATCTATATATAAAGCGAAAAGAAAAATAACAACTGACAAACAGTGATCTTTTATTTTGTTGCATCTATTATCTTTATTTACAAAAAAAAATCTCTCTTATGTATCAGATAATAAGTATATTTGATCTTCTGACATATAGAAAAATATGTTCTTTGTTTTGTTTTATTCTGAATGATTATAGTCAATTCTCATGTGTATGCATATTATCTGTTTTTTGTTTTTTTAATTTTCTATAATTCGAACATTATATATATATATATTTATAAAATGAGAAAAATTAATGATAAACTATTTAATCATTCTCGATTGGTTTCAAATGATTAGAAGAAAGAAATTTTTCTTTTTCATGAAACTTATTAAATTTCCAAGTGAAATAAGTACCGATGAGCTGGATTAACCGTTAATTGTCTTGATCTTGGATAGAAAAAGTTTTTTAGTTCCGAGTTCGACAACTCTATTGTTTACGAAAAGAAAATGGATTATTTTACTATGAAAATTAGAACAGCAAATATTGATGTGATCGTTACTCAATAATTATCGTATAAACTTAGAATACATGAGCCGCAACAACATGACATGTGATGCAAGTTTTACATGACTATAAAAGATATCACTCACAATGAAAGAAAATGTTGTGCCTGACTCCGGTCCCATATCTAGAAATGCGGTATAGAGTAGAATCTGTTAGGTTGGCCTTCAATACTTTACTTAATTTTGCATTATCATCTCAAATATCGATATAATCTGGAAAAGTCAAATCCAATAAATAACTTGTTTTTACTGAAAAATCACTATGACAGACTCTTATTCTGTAAGGTATCCTAGGAGGTTTTTCAGTATATCTTTACTATTTTATTGAATTTTATCAACTAATTCTTTTTATGATAGGCTCATACACTGAGTTTTTAATTACACGAAAAAATTTCAAAAGCACCCTTCAAAGCTATTATTTTTAACCTAAATGCAAAAATTTAGCTGGGTGTGAATGTTGATGAAAAGGAGATCGACATCCACCCACACCCCAAACCTGCACTCACACCCATATTCAGTAATAAAAAGCTCTTGATGTGATGCAATCACATCGAAAGGAAGAAGTGAAGAAAGAAAAATGAAATCTTACCTTTCTTTAGCAGTCGTTTATTTACATATTCTATCTTCACATCGTCACTAACTGTACAGCCCATGTAAACACCAGACGCAGAATATACGCGTGTAATCGCAGTTTCATTGTAGGCCGCGTTCAGACGCGCTAAAAATTGATTTTCACCGCGTCTGAACGCGTTTTCATTTACAATCGCGTCTATACGCAGCTGAAGAAAGTTTTCGAATGCATCTGGAAGCGATTGCAAATGAAAATGCGTTCAGACGCGGTAAAAATCGATTTTCACCGCGTTTGAACGCGGTTTCGTTTACAGTCGCGTCTATACGCAACTGAAGAAAATTTTCAAACGCATCTAGACGCGATTGTAAATGAAACCGCGTTCGGACGAGGTTACAATCGATTTCTATTCGCGTCTGAACGCGACCAAAAATAAAAAAGCATCTAGACGCGGCCGCAGGAGATTTTGAATCGCGACTGGACGCGATTTTTTACGAGACCGCATGAAAACGCGTTTTATTAAAATTTTTCAAGCGCGTTTGGATGAAGTTTAAGATAGAACGCATCAAGACGCGGTCAGATGGAGATCTGAGTCGTTGCTTAACGCATTTTTTATGGAACCGCGTTTGTACGCAGGTAATAGTACTGTTTAGACGCATTTGGATGTGATTTTACGTGAGAGTGCGTCTATACATGATTGACCAAAAACTATTTAAAGGAAGACATAAAATTTTATTATCTATACTCTGGTGGACTTTGGCAAGAATAGAAAGAAATGTTTGGTTTAAAGATTTAGGTACTTATATAAGAGAAAGATGTTTTTATCGTAGCATAATAAATTTCTTTAGAAACTTCATCTTTTAATGTATGAAAAAAGTAATACGAGTGGCCATTAGTATAATGAGACTATCTCTCTACTCTGTACTATTTCTACTAATCGATAGCCTGTTTTCAAAATAAGGGATAAATATAAAAAAGTTTTGCATCGAACCGCACATCAAGAAGTCTGCTCTAAAATAAGAAAGATAAAATTTGTTTTCACTTTTTGATCAAAAAACTCTTTTTGAAATTTAAGTTATAAATTATGTCCTCAATTTGAACTTTGTTTTAAAGATAAAATATACTTTGTCATAAAATAACTGTACCTCAAGTGTTTAAATGTTATGGTTGGCGTAGTGTTCAATTCATTTCGAATTGTGTGTGTTGTTTTCATTTTATATTGTTACGGAAGGAAGATACACAAGAAGATACTCAAACTCGAATAGAAAATCTAATAGATAAACCTTTTTTCTACGTTTCCTAGACGTATACATCGTCTCTACCTTATCCATTGTGTATACATAAGAAAAACACTCGCAAACTCTGTACTAAGTGCTCGAATGACGTATATAAATTTGCTAAAAAACCTCAAAGAAGATGACATTTTAGAAATTAAAAAACACTTTCTATGTTAACATGATTTGAAAAAAGCTTTGGTAAACGCTTTTTTATATAATAAAAAAGAAAGACGAAAAAAGCACATGATATTTGATAAAATATAATAGCTATATAATAAGTTCTAGAAGATAGGCACTATTTAGTATTATAAATAATAGTCTTACGCGACAAAATAAATGAAAATTATTTGCAAAAGAAAAAGTTGCCGAAAATTTTAAAGAAATTTTAATATACGCAATTTATTTTGTACAAGTTTATTTTCATACAAGAATATCAATATTAACAAATGAGATATAATTTAGGCAGAAAATGTTCTATTGATAAATGCATTTGTACATAATATAGATATGAAGTCACGATTCATATATACTTTCTGTTTCATTCGACAATGATTGTGGTCACATGTGGCTTCATGGTGTGTATACTTGCTTCTTAATTGCTAGTTCACTTGTTCTAATCTCATTTCTATCGTTTTAGATAAATCAACATTTCAACCTTCCGTTCGCCTTTAGTGAGGTAAAGACCATCGTTAGGGGATATCGATGGCGACTCAGTTCAAACCTGAGATGGATTGCAATATTTTTTTAAAATCTTGAATGTCGAATCGAACGCGTTTAGACGCGATTTAATTTGTAATCGCGTCTAGCCGCGGTTGGAGAAAACCGCGTCTAGACGCAATTTGTTTTAGAACCGCGTCTCCAGTGAAA